TTCCTTTATTAAGTTCTAGTGTTTTTAACCCTTAATACCTAGGATTCCACTAACCATTTGGGATTCTCCTAAAATTTTGGTCTGTTTGCTCTAGTTACATTGTAAGAAGAAAGAAGGTAGAGTTGTTCATTAAGGTGAGCATGAAAAATCAAATAACTTATCTCTTAGAAAGTCAAAAAGGGACTAGAAATGGTCATCTATATTTTTCTTTGTGCCACCTTGCAAATTAACATAAAAACAGCATGCTGTGTACATAAGACCAAATTAGACCTAATGACCAGGCCTGAAAGCTAACTCTCTCCCCAGTTAGACCAGAGTACTGTAGAATACAGTATACATATACTCCATAAATCAGTGTTGAACCTTACCTAGAATATTAAATTTTGAAAAAAATGAAGGCGATTTGAAATTGAGCAGCGGCAGGAGGAGCCCTACCAGGTAAAAGGGCACTGTCCTGGATCTGCTCCACCACTTTTCAAACTGCTGGACTTCAGTGTCATTGGTGTAGAAAGCCATGGAGTCGTTGTCAGGGTGGCCTCCGCTCCCAGCACTCGGGCAAATCACTGCAGTGGGGAAGCAGCATGTTAGAGAGGACCACAAAAAGCACAAAATCAACCCCCTGGAGAGTGCTGTTTGGCTTTTACCATGAATAGTTCTCCTTTCTGGAAAAAAAAAAAAAAAAAATGGAGGGCTATTTTCATGTATATTAGGAATGTGATTAAAGGTGAGAAAATCTTCAGAGTTTTGAGGTATATTTTTAATCTCTGATGGAGGGAGAAAAAAAATAAATTTTGCTTCATTCCATCAGTGGAAAGAAAATATTAGACTGATATTTGGCTTTATTTTTACAACAAATAAGAAATATGACTCAGGTTAATGGTTATACGAGTAGCTAAAAAGTCAAAAGGCAGGTTTCTCTTAATGGCAAATTATTCACCAATGAAAATGCAACCCAAAATAATTCTGGAAATTATCATGCTTGCTAGCTGCCTAGGATCCTAAATAACTAATTCAGACAACTAAGAACTCAATAAATGTAGTTTTCTAAATACTGACCTACTGGTGGCAATTTTGTCTGTTATCAGAGACAAATCATTCTTAAATAATTTCACAAGAGCTTACTATTCTATTTGGTTTCACAATAGAGCATTTGTTAATAATCAGCTCTATTTAAAAAAACTAATTATTTAGAAGGGAATTAGAAAGCATATAGTTTCTTTAAAAACATGTTGATTATTGAGTTTGTGAGATAGTTCAGCAATCTTTTTTTTTTTTTTTTTTGTATTTGTAAAGGTCTACAGGGTGTTCAGGGTCTTACTACCAGATCGGACTCGTAGTGATCCACCTGTTTATAGCCTCCCAAGAGCTGGGATTACAGGCATGCACCACCATGCCCAGTCTTGATTGCTGCCTCATCGTGCCCCAGGGGCAGGGTCAGCACGGCAGGCCCAAGGATCGAACCCCTGCCCCCTACGCCTGCTTGCAGGTACTTTAATCTGCTGAGCTAGCTATTTGGCCAGACCTAAGCTCAGCAATCTAAGGCTTGCCTGGCAAGTGCAAAGACCTGAGTTCAATCCATGATACTGTATGCCAATAATCCCAGTGCTGGGGAGGCTGAGACAGGAGGATCACTATGAGTCTGAGCTGTGTAGTGAGACCCTGTATGAAATAGATTTTTTAAAAGCTATAGCATCTCTCACACAAAATGCTTGGGGCCAGAAGTGTTTCACACTTTTGAGGGTTTTTTTCTTTTTGAATATCTGCATAGACTTTACTGAGTGTACATTGACTAGCTTGGTTTTATGGTGTTGGAGACTGAAACTAGGGCAAGAACTCTACTCTGCACTGTATTTCCAGGCCCTGACCATATTTGGAGCACTTCATTCAAATTTTGGACTTGTGGCTTCAGGATCCACAACATGTATGGACTAAACATGCCCAGCTCACGTTCACGCAATCTTTTGGGGAGTCTTTTTAACATGTCAGTTACTAACAATTTGGTAGCTGCTCAGCTAACAATTTTTTACTAAACGTTTATCTAAAATAAGGTCATTCTATTTTAAATCTCTGGCACAAGGTGGGGAACAAATAAACAAAATGAACTACAAAGTTCTTACCAGGGTTGCTATTATTGATTCTCAGTAAAGTGTCGGTGTCATTAATGTGGTGAATAAAATCTATTAAAAACAAAAATACAGTTTAACAATGAATGAAAGATGCAAAATCCTATCAGCTTCTAGTATCATCTATAAAAACTTAAAAGTATCTATCAGTACACCGAACTAGTATTTTTTTTATTCATACACCGAACTAGTATATTTTCATTAGTATACTGAACTAGTATTTTTTATTAACATAGTTTTATCTTCTACAGTTTTCTTCACTTATAGGAATAAAAAAAAAGGCACTGGTCTGACCATCTCACTGTGGAAAATTTTTATCTGAATGAAGATTTTTAAAAATCTACTCACAAGGCTACATTAATGATAGTTAAAAACTCTGGAATGAAGATTGAGCATAATATTTTTTATACTCACACGAATTTATATAATTATAGTTACATTTCACATAAAGTTCTAAAATATGTAAAACAGAGAAACCAACACTTAAACACAGCACAACTTACTTTGAAAGTCACTTAAAGTACCAAGCATTTACAGCAATTTTCATGCTTATAAGAATCTTAAGTTTGACCAAAGGAAGCAGCAAAGAAAAGAAGCACATGCGGATACCTGGGCACCCAGCCCATCTACCATGAGTTCAAGAATGGGTAAAGAATGCGTGTTCTTGCTAACCTTCAGGGGTTTCTTTTATTCTGCATATTTATAACCTCAGCCTAAATGAAAGCATTTATTGTTCTAAAACTTAAAAGATGCTAAGTTATGCTTCAAGGTAATAAATGTTACACAGGCACCTGACTCATCTCCACTGTACTGTATGGTTCTCAAGAGGAAATAAAGGCAGCACTATAGTGCTGTAGGATTTTACAGTATCTTCCAGAGTCATCGTGATTTACAATTAGAAGTTATGAAATTTTATGTCATTCCTTGGGGCCAAATACTTACACAAGCCTAGTAAAATCTTGACAGAAAATGTATTGGGTTGAATTTGGTCCCTCCTAAAATTTATGTCTACCAGGAACCTTAGAATGCTACCTTACTTGGAAACAGACTTTCTAGATATAACCAGATTAATATAAGGTGACCATCTCACAGTGGATTACAGAGGGCTCTATAATAAGAAACATATGTAGAGGAAGAGAAAATCTGGACACACAAATACAGAAGAAAGACACAGGGAGCAACTGGAGTGATACAACTATTTGTCAAGGAATACAGAGATTACCAGCAATTGACAAGCGCTATGAAAAGCAGATTCCTTTTCTTTTTTGGTACTGCGAATGGAACTCACGACCTCATGCTTGCCAGGTCGGCACTGTGCAGCTGAGCTATATCCCTGGCTCAAGAAATCCTCCTTAAAGCCTTCAGAGGGAGCAGGACCCATTTTTTTTTTTTTTTTTTTTTAAATGTGTTTAGTACAGGGTCTACAGTGTCTCACTACACAGATCAAACTCGTAGTGATCCTCCTGTTTTCAGCCTGACAAGCACTGGGATTACAGGCACGTGCCACCATGTCTCAATTGAAGTCTCAGCATGCCCCGGGGGCAGGGCCAGCACAGCCTAAGCAGGTGCTTTAGTTGGCTGAGCTATCCGGCCGGCCCTACAGGACCCATTTTGATATTGAACTTTCTGTCTCCACAATTTTGAAAGAATAAACACCTGTTGCTTTAAGTGAGCAAGTTGTGGTAATTCGCTACAGCAGCCCTAGGGAGCTCATGCACAAGGTCTAAGGATATAATAAGAAATAGGACAATAACTCTTAGGAAAGATGCAGAAATTCTTTTTTATTTTATTTTATTTTTTTTTGCGGAACTGAGGATTGAACTCAGACCCTTGTGCTTGCCAGGGAAGCACTTATTCCACTGAGCCATCTCCCCGGCCCCAAGATGCAGAAATTCTAAAGCAAATATTAAACTTCTACCTCTCCAAAAACAAAAAAAAAAAAAAAAAAAAAAAAAAAAAAAAAAAAAAAAGCAAATTCAATTAAGTAAGGAATTAAAAAAATACATTATGACTAAATTAATCCTAGAATATGTGTAAGAATAGTTTGAATCTTATAAAGTGTATTTGTTTAATTCAGCATACCTGTAATTTAAGGAGAAAAACTGATTGTGTAAACTGATGTAAATTAAGTACTTGGTAAAGTTCAAAACACATTAATAAAAATGCTCAAGACAACAATGTGTGTAGGGCCGGGGAGACGGCTCAGTAGATTAAGCGCTTCCCTGGCAAGCTCAAGGGTCCGAGTTCAGTCCCTGGTTCCACCAAAAAAAAAAACAAAAAAACAATGTGTGGAAGTGTCTAAATTATGAAGCTGGGTGTGGTGGCACAGCCATAACCCCAGCACCCAGGGGGCTGAGGAAGGAGGAGGAGGAGGATCAAAACCAGCCTGAACTACATAGCAAACTCAAGAAGAGATTGGCAAGCTTGCTACATTCAGAACAAACATTTATAAATTAAGTTTCTTAGCTGGGGAAGGTAGTGTACACTGTAAGGTAGGAACTCTAGGAGACTCCTGCAGGAGGACAGCAAGTTCGAGCCCCGCCTGGGCAACTGAGGGACTTATCAAGACCCTATCTCAAAATTAAAATATTTCTTAAAAGAGCAAAAGCCCTAGGATTAATCCCTAGTACTGTAATAAACAAACATAAAATAAAGATTCCTCGTACCCCCCAAAAAAGGGGTTTTCTCTGTAATATCAATAAGTAACTTGAATATATAATTAAAAATATCTTTTTCCAGAGACAGAATTCTCGTTCCTCAGAGGTATGAATTACACAAATACACCCATTTCTCAAAAATGTAGGGCAAAGATTTCTATATTTCAGTGAATAAATTGTATCTAAAAAAGAGAACTATGCACACAGATGCACTGCTTGGAGAAGGGGTACAGCACAGGTCTTGCTGAGTGTGACATCTGCTCTCAAGGGGAGAACATTTTTAGGAAGAGGAAAGCAAGTCTTTTTACATATAAAGCACAGATACATACATGGCTCATCAACACATTTACACTACACCTCTGATAGTAGAATTTCACAGAAGGGGAAGCTGGGAAATGTCTACGAAAGCTCCACGAGGAGGCAACTGAGAAGCGCTATCGTAGACGCTTCTGCCCCAGCAGGCTGCCGAGGCGTGCTGGAGGGAGGGGAGGAAAACACAGGTTGCTCACTCTGTCCCGTCTACTTTGCACCTACCTGTGACTTTTTATAATGTGTCTGTTGCTATGCAATTAAAGCTACATTTATAAAAATTTTAAAGTACTCAAGAAAATATTTAAAATACATATGAAAGATTTTTATCAAGCAAAGATATCTGAAACAATACTAACTACAGAACTATGCCATGCCATGTACAAAGAGAGGAAAACTCAGTATCTTATTGATATAAACTGTCTCCAGATCCAAAGCAATTCTAATCAAATTCTAAACTAGGTACTTTCACGGCATCAACTATGGTATATTGTTCAGCATATCAATTCAAAGTAATTTTAATACAGTTATAATTGGATTTTTCTGGAATATGTGATTGTAAAAGGTATACAAAAGTGTTACGTACCATAATAAAAAAAAATGAGCCAGTAATTTGGAAGCAAAAAGTTCTGAACAGGGCTAATATATACAAAGAGAACACAAGTCACTAACTACAAGCATGTAATGCAGGGTACATAAGCAGCATATAACTTTTTTCCCCTAATTAAAGTTTATTTGTGTTCATTGATTTGTATTTAATTTTTATTTTTTAAAAAATATTTTTATTCAAAAAAAAACAAAAAATATTTTTATTGCGGAACAAATAGCAATGAGACGGTTTCACAACCAATTACTAGTACATTTTCAGTAATTAAGACATTGCATATTGTTGTCTTAGTGGTTATTTGTTGTACAAGATGCAGACCTGATATCCTATCTCACACACTATTAGAACAAACCTCTCTAATCATTGAATTAAGAGAAGGGAGCTTTACATCTATCCTAACTATTTTGAGTATACAGATACAAAATGATCGTTCATTTGTATCCCCCTTTTCTGGTTAGTTTGTCAGAGAAGGGCATTCCATTGTCATTAAAATACTGTAGGTCCATGAATTCAGCAAAATATCCCATTATAGTCCAGTAGTCCATAATAGTAGTGGGTTTTCCATAAGACTGTCAATGTCTGAAGTTGTTGACTTGAGCATTTTACAGCTCATCATATTGATATGGCTTTACATAGCGGTATATAATCTTTACAAGGTCCCATAAAAAGTAAGAAAATGACCAACAAACCAACAGATAAACAAGAATACTATCCTTATGAACAGCAATGCAAATTAAAATCATATTCTAAGTGATAAGATCTGATAATACCACGTGTGGGAGAAAGTTTCATTAACTGCTGGCATGAGTTTAAATACTATAAGTATGATAAAGAACAATTTGACCATTTCTAATTAAGTTGGAAAAGTATATGCACTCCAACTCCCAGAAACAGGTACTTCACAGGTACTTAACTAGAGAAGCTTCCATATGTACACAAGGAGACAGAAATAAGTACTGCCTACAATACCAAAACAAGTCAAATGCCATCAACAAGAGAACCCATAAGAAGTCATGATATATTCAGATAACGGAACAGCACAAAGCCAGTAACATGAACTATTTGTGTTAATAAAGACAATGGCAGGAAGCAAGCTGCAAAAGCATCAATATGGTTTAAAAACACTTAAGAACGTGGTTGGTGTGTTGGTGCACACCTACAATCTCAGCACTCAGAAGGCCGGGGCAGGGGACTGCAAGCTCAAGGCCAGTCTGGGCTACATAAGAGCTGAGGAACAGCCTGAATGCAGAATGAGACCTGCTCTCAGAAAACACACACACACAAAAAAAAACAAAACAAAATAAGCAACAAAAGACAGCACTGCATCTTGTTTATAGTTATGCAGTATAAGTGCAAAAATAAGCATTAAGATGATAAAACACAAAACTTAGGAAAGAAGGGAAACAGAAGAGTACATGTGTTCTTCAACAATACCTGTAATGTTTATTTTTATAAGAATAGGAAACTCATGTAATTATGATAAAATGTTTAAAACACTAATTAGAAACACTAATTTGTTTACATAGCCCAAGCCCTAAACTTTAAGGCTGGATCTAAACATTAGAATAATGTTTCATTAAGGAGTACATTGGTTTTATTTTATTTTTTTATTTTTTAATTTTTTTTTGGCGGAACCAGGGATTGAACTCAGGCTCTTGCGCTTGCCAGGGAAGCGCTTATTCCACTGGGCCATCTCCCCGGCCCCCATTCATTTTAATGCGTTTGAAACTTTTTGTAGTTTGAAATATTTCATAATTATTTAGACAGGGCTGGTGAGATGGCTCAGTGGTCTAAAGCACCTACTTAGAACAAGCTTAATAAAACAGAGGGAGCACGGTTCAATCCCCCAGCACCACATGCCAGCCAGCCCTGTCTCCTGGTGGGCTGAGCTGGCCACACACACACAAATAGATAAATTAAAAAAAAATAATAATTATTATTTAGACAATGAAAATGCTTGGTTAATAAAAACAAAATACTAATTTTCTTTACAATAAAAATGTTCCTTTCGCCTTTCACTTAGCACTGTTCAGGAAATTAGCTATTGTGACTACGTCAGAGTTTACTTTGATATTTTCCATGTAGGGATTTCTTATAGGGAGCTGAGCATTAGCTAAACTTTAGAGCTATTAGTCATCAGAGAAAAGAATTGGGAATCTTACATTATATAAAATGAATTTTCTCTATCCAACTTAAAAATATTACAAAAATATTTGGAATTGGGCATGGCTGTGCTTGCCTATGCAGCTGAAGTTTGAACCTAGACTGGGCAGCTTAGTAAGATCCTGTCTCAAAATAAAAATAAAACAGGATTAACATGTAGCTCAGCAGAAAATCACTGGATATAATCTCCAATATTGAAAAATAAAAGAAAATCTGGTTTGTATTTCTAAAACTGCTCAGAATTCAAGTAGTTGATTTGGGCAGACTACAACTCTGCAGTATGTAAGATACACTTACCACACAAATTCCATTTCTCTGTTGTTTCCTAATTTTAGAGTCTAATGTATCTAAAATAAGTGACTGAAATTTTTTCCCTCTACTATCTACATATCAGATTCTTTAGCACTAAATATCAATGATTTTCATAAATTTTACAGTAACAAAATTTGGTGGTAAAGGTTGAAATAATGCTTACAACATCTGCTAAATTATGGAAAATTTTATATTAGAGATTTTAAATATTATTTATTCAAAAATTGTTTGGAAATGAACAGAACACACATCATATTTGAGAATACAACCACAGAAAAGAAAGTGAAGTATATTTTCCAGAATTACCTCACACACTAACTTTGCTTTGTATTTTGTTTGTTTCTGAGATAGGGCTTGGGGGCCTGCCCATTAGCTCAGGTGTTTAAGTGCCTGCTGACACAAAGCAGTCAGGCTCAGGATGCTGTGGTCCGATCCCCTCATCCTCAAGCCAAACCAGACCTGCCCTGAAGGCACCCTGAGCGCCCCTCAAAAAAAAAAAAAAAAAAAAAAAAAATCCTCCTGAGACAGGGCTTGCTACACAGCCCAGTCTGACTTTGAACTTGCAATCTTCCTGCTTCAGCCTTCATCTCTGGCCTATTTCTTTACTTTACATATCCCAAACCCTAAACTTTAAGGCTGGATCTAAACATGAGAATAATTATTGTATTTGAAAACAACTATGTTGGCAGTGCCTCCCCGACAAGCATAAGGTCCTGAGTTCATTTTCTGGTACCCTAAAGACCAAAACAAACCCCCCCAAAAAACTAAACAAAAAAAAAAAAAAAAAAAAAAAAAAAAAAAAAAAAAAAAAAAAAAAAAACCCGCGAAAAAACTGTTAAATAGTAAGATGATTATACTTACTAAAAATAAACTTTCCAGTATTAAAGAGAAAATTAGACATTAGCACCCAATAAACTATCATTGCTCCAATGAGAGACACCAAGGAGCAAAGGAGACTCGACCACTGACCGAAGGAACCAAAATAATATCTGCAGACATCTGGATATTCCCAGGTAGTAGTATTCAATGAACCTAGATAAAAATAAAAGAGAAGGGATTAAGTAAATGTTAACCATATATATGATGCTCGTAATTTGTGTACCCCAAATGAACTGAAAATATTCATCAAAAGACCACAGTTATTTTACTATCGGATATTGGAACACATGCTATAATAGCAACGGAAACATAGAACTAACATAAGAAACATTAATCAGTAAAAGATTGTGGGCAATCCAAGAAACATAGCATCATAACCTTGCATAATTAATAAGGGCAAGTGATACATAAGGCAAGTGACAAACCCATCAATAAAGGACAGAAAACATTATTTAGTATTTGCCATATTCAGGTAACAATATGGAGGAAAGTTACCTAGAGTCATGCCACATGTCAATTTTATGAGATAAGAATTTTAAAAATTGGGCTGGGGATAATCATATTAGCACCTGTCTGACAAATGCAAGATCCCAAGTTGGACCCCTGTTATAAACAAACAAACAAACAAAAAAAAAAGAATTTAAAAAATTAACAGAAAAGTGAGAAAACAATGTAGAAAAAAAATGAAAATTACCTTTTATCAACTAAAGAAACAAATTACAATGAAAAATACTGAAAAAAAGATACAAAAGCCATTAGATTATTAAAGGAAAAAATTATTAGAAATGACAGATAAAGAGTTAATGTCAATATCACACAAATAGCTTAACAGATTTATAAAAGCACCAAAAGACTTAAAAGGGATGTGAACAAATAACAAAAATACTCCACTTTGCAGGTATGAAAGCAAACCATGGAAACATGAAAAAGAAAGGCAAGCTTCAGAGAGGCAGTATCATTCACACTGATGACACTATAAATTCATTTATATAATTCTTTTTGGTTTGTTTTTTTTTTTTTTTTTGGCTGGCTCAGCCTGCCCTCAGGGCAGGGCTGGCATGGCATGTGATGCTGGGGACCAAACTGCAGTACCCTGCGCCTGCCTAAGCTTGCCTAAACAGGTGCTGTAGACGCTCAGCTACCTTGCTGTCCCATGTGATTCTTAAAAATAAGCTTAAGAATTCTTTTTTTAATGTGGTATTGTTGATTGAATCCAGGGCTATGTACATAATAAGGACAAGGTCTATCACTGAGTTATGGCTTCAGCCCAAATTTTTCTTTCTTATTTAATGGAATTTAAAGAAATCCCAGAGAATACATGTTAAATGCATAACTTCTTAAAGTTTATTCTACTATCTTATGGCTTTTTTCCATAAGTTTTTAAGTCACCAGAAGTACTTTCTTGTATAGGATGCTATAAAAGTAGTTTTTTCAAAATGGATAATAAGGTGAATAGACACCAAATACATTAAATTCTTACTTAATTGCTTGTTGTAGTTCCTATTCCAAAATTCTGATTATCTTTCTGGCTATTCCAAACACAGTACATCTTGACACCTGAAGTCTGATTCTCCCATACCCTTCTTTCTCATAATTTTCTTTTCTTTTTTTTTTTGGCAGTACCGAGGATTGAACTCCGGACCTTGTGCTTGCCGGGCAATGCTTATTCTACTAAGCTATCTCCCTGCCCCCCTCATAATTTTCTTGAGTATTTATTTGTCCATATTAACTTTGAGGTTATTTTTATTGAAGCCCAAAATGAATTTTCATTGAAATGAAACTGAATTTATATATGTGACATTTTTAATGATACTAAATCTTCCTGATAATATGGTCTATTTTTCACTTGTTCAGATCTCCTTTACTCTTAAGATGATTTTATATCTTTCTTCCAGCAAACTTGATAAACTTCTAAATCTGTTGGAGTTTATTGCTTTTGCGAATGAAATATTTTTCTACTTTATAATTGTTATCATTTCTTTACCTTATATGGTGCTAATTTACTGTTAATCTCATTAATGCTAGTAGTACTATTTTCTCAGCATTTCTAATTATCTTTTTGCTCACAATGTAACTTTAAGTCTTTTCTACCTTTTATATTGATTATTTTTATATTTTGCTGCATTTTGGTAATACTTATCTCCAAAAAGTCTTGGCTAATTACGAGCATCCCTGTTTTTGTTTTTGCTTTTTACTTCAATCTAGCTTTTTTTCACTTTAGAATCATGCTGGTACTGGTTTAGGGATAAACAATATATTTAAGCAGTACCTTTCACTTTGAGTTTTATTTATTTTATTTTTTTAGTGGAAGACCAGAACTGAGTCCAGTCTTTTTTTTTTTTTTTTAATTTCATGGGAGGGTCTACAGGGTGTTCAGCGTCTCACTACTAGATCGGAGCTGCAGTGATCTGCCTGTTTACAGCCTTATAAGAGCTGGGATTACAGGCCCATGCCACCACTCAATTGCCGTCTCAGTGTGCCCCGGGGCGGGGCGGGGAGGGGAGCTGGCACAGCAGGCCTGGGGATTGAACCCCTGGCCCCTGTACCTGCTTGCAGGTGCTTTAACCCGCTGAGCTATTTGGCCGGACCTCACTTTGAGGTTATTTTTTTTTTTTTCCCTCACTTTGAGTTTTAATCAGGAATAGGTGCTGAACTCCTTTAAATGTCATTTTTGTTATCTACTAATGCAACTGTGGATTTTTTTCTAGAATTTGCTTATGTAGTGAACTATGTTAGATTTCTTAATAACAGAATATCATCCATATTTTTAACTTAGGGTATTATTCTTTTGATACATCACTGATTCTACTTGATAATGTTTTATAAACAAAACTTACAACTCCCTTTCTTTTTGGTACTGTCAGGCTTTGTATTAGGGTAGTCCTGACTTTGTAAAATGAACTGACACATGTTTATCTTTTCAATTGTGTGGAATAGTTTCAGTAATGTAAGTGCTGCCTGTTACAGTTATGAAGAGAGTTTACTGGGTCCTATGTTCTCACTTTAAGGGCCCTGAATTAAGATACACCCTTCCTGTGTATGTTTAAAGAAGTCCTCCAAATTAATCAAAATTGAAACCAAAGAAACCAAAGGATAAACTCCTCACTAAGATTTAGAATGAATCATCTTCCAAGACTTTTAAATTAACCCCCTCAAGTGACAAAAACTAGTTTTGATTAACATAAAGAAGCTTCTTGGAAGAGACAGAAAAAACTAGAGTTAAAGCCTGGTCTTCAGGTTTATATGTGCAAAAAATGAACAAAATCATGCATGCCTATTTATGCCTAAACCACTTTAAAACAACCTAAAAAGGTATTTTGCTAATCCAACAACAATGTGTGGTGGTGCACCTCTAGTCCCAGCTATAGGCAAGGCTGATGGAGATTACTCAAGCTCAAGTTTGAGATCAGTCTGGACAACACGTGAGATTCTGGTAAAGCAGGTGGGAGGGGGAGGAAGTTTCCCCAATGCAGAATTTTTCTAAATGAGTAGAATGTATTCTTACAACTTTTCACATTTATCTCCTTATAATTTCTACTTTTAGGAGATTCTAACATTTAGGTTTTTTTGAAAAGAACAGAACAAAACAAGTCATGAATAACTGATAAGAATCTTAGAAGTCTCATTTGTTCCATCAAATGACATTATTTTAAACATGTGGCTTTTTATTATTTTTATGAAGAAACCAATGCCAAAATGAATGCACTCTGTCTGCAAAGAACTCCTAGCCTCTCTGAATTCCAAAGGCAGCCATTAATACGCTCACAGATCAGTTCAGCTGAAAGCCAGGAATGAGAAAACTGCATCTTCAAGGGCAAAGCTGTCAACTGACTCCCATGTGGAATATATACACTGCAATGTGTCTACGGAGAAATAACTTAATACTTCTATCAATAATCTATTTTGGGGGCTGGTCACATAGCTCAGTGGATTAAAGCACCTGCATAGGCAGACACAGCGACCTGCTGTGCCCGCTCCCCGGGCGCACGGAGATGGCGATTGAGATTGGGTGTGGTGGTACACAGGCCTGTAATCCCAGCGTTGAGAGGTTGTCAACAGGAGGATCATTACGAGTCCAATCTAGAAGTGAGACCCTGTAGATCCTATACTAAATACCATTAAAAAAAAATCTATTTTCATTATGTCAAATGCTTACATATCATACTCCGTGATTTCACTACTCTGTAGCAGCAATAAAGTGTTAAAAGGCCCATCAGCAAGATGACACACATTCCGGTGGTAAATCCAGCCTATTTAAAAATAAAAATACAGAATAACATATATCATCATGTAAAAATAAATGCATATTCAATTACATGTTACTTTAAGTCATGATAAAAATCTGACAACGGGAAAACTAAAAACAATCATTTATTTTCTTTAATTTTACATAGATTGTAATACTTATACTATAAAAAGAAAATTTTCAAATAAAAATATGTTGAAAAATTACATTACATTACCTGTTTTATGCCCCAAGGAATACTTAGTATAGATGTCCCCATCATGGTATTCCAAATCATGAAACTGGAAACAGGATAACAGTAAATAAAAATAGGAAATTTATTTAAATGTTTTAATTAAGACAAAAGTTAAAATAGTAATTTTCATGCATACAGTTTAAATTATGTTCCCCAAAACACTTTCACTTACATGGTCACTAAGCTGGTGTTTTTACCATGTCCTTCAGTGTAACTTTGAAGTTTATAAGCAGACCCCAAAGGGCTGTACACGTAGCACTCTTCTGGAGCTGGAACTACATGGTCTGGAGCAATCTGGTGGGGGAAACACAAGCCAGAAATAAGAGAAGCAGCAAATGTACAGAACAGGACATTTTCTGTACATCATAGTACCTGACTGTAGACACACTTCCAAATACCATATTATGTATCCTTCATTAGTGAATTAAAAACTTCCTTTTCAAATGTAGTAGAAGATGGTAAGAAGCTAAATTTATACAACTGTCAACATATTTTTCTCTTCATTTTCATGAGAAAGGAGGAAAAAGAGGCAGCAAAGTTGACATTAAAGGAATCTAGGTGGAAGTGACTGAAGTAAAAGGAATTCCAGAAACCGCGCAGCGCTTGACCTGCAAGGCCAAGGCAGTCTTAACAGAGTTAGGCAGGTATCTTGGACTAGAAGGAGGTGAGGAGTCAGTGGATGGTAAAGACAGGAATACCAGAGCTACACATTGTTTCGTACTAGGACTGGAAGCCAGGGGTATCGTAAGAGTGTCACACACCTACCCCTTTTTATTTTTTGAGACAGGGTCTCACTCCGTTGCCCAGACCGGCCTTGAGCTGTGATCCCGCTGCCTCGACAGCCTGAGCAGCTGGGGTTACAGGTATGTACTACCACTCCTGGCCTAAAGTACAACAGTTTTTAAAAAGCTTTGGTAATGGGAAAAAAAGCCAACCTAAGTGGCTTAAGGAAATAGTAAAGCAATGATTTCAAAGACAGAAGAGCCAGACATGGTGGCACATTCCTGCATCCCAGCACTCAACAGGCTGACGCAGGAGGACTGTTGGGAGTTTGAGACTAGCATGGGCTACATGAGTTCAAGAACAGCCTGGGCACTATGCAGCCTCAAACAAAAAAATTTGCATCCCAGTTGCAAGTCACATAAAGCAATTAGTCACGGATAGAAGACAATAAAAATGAAAACTGTTTGACTCTGAGACTGTGTATGGTACTACAAGAATGATAATAACAGTAACTAGAGCAGTCAGGGAAGCTTAAAAATGGAAATGGAGTATCAGACCTCAGCAGAAAGAGATGACATAAAGTGGTACAATAGTCAAGTCCTTTTCCTTTCAATGCACTCGAATGGTGAT